TAGTGATACTGCCTCCACAACCCAAGGAGGGGTCGCTGTGAGTCCGGTCCGATTCAACGGCATATAACAACAACAACAACAATTTATTAAACCATTGGGAGCTCTGGTAGCATAGTGGCTAAGGCACTTGACTGCTAACCAGAAAAGGCTGGCAGTTCAAACCCACCAGCCACTCCTCGGAAGGAAGATGGGGTAATCTACTTCTGTAGTGATACTGCCTCAGAAACCCAAGGAGGGGTTGCTATGAGTAGGGTCTGACTTGATGGCACATAACAACAACAATAACAACAACAATGAAGTATTTATGCTGTGAAACACACATATTAGGGGCTAAGAAAAGTGTTGAGTATGATATAGTCCAACAGTAATTATGTAAATTAGGATTACGTTTAGAACACAGGCAGATCTAAACTTGAATACTAGCTCTACTACTAATTAGTGTGTGACCTTATAAATATAAATTAATCTTTCTGAGTCTGTTTTTTCATCCATAAAATGCTGATAAATTTTAATACCTATATCTACAGCTCCAGTACACACCAGAACAGCTCACTGGCCAGCATTTGTTCCAATTAGTTGGTGTCTATGTCATTCCAACTACTAAATAATTTTTACATCACCCTTCCCACATCTCACAGGCTTCATATAAAGATTAAATATTAAATGAGGTAATAATGACATAAAGTATTTTACACATAATAAATATTTCATACACAGTCAGTATTTAGTACCAATATCACACTAATGAGTTTAAATGTTATTTTTTAATTATTATTAACAAATTGCAATAATTTAAAAATTAAATAAGTACCCTCATATTCATTTAAAATAAATTCTACTGGATTGCTAACACCCAGTCCTGAACAACGAGGTAGAAGCAGAATCACTTTAACTTTCTGTAACCTATGATCCTTTGAGTCAATGTTAATAAATGTCTCACGAAGTATTTCAATATCTGATAGAAAAAACACAGAAAATTAATGTTAGCATATTTATGCAGTACATCATTATATCTATTTGATCACTGTTCATTTTTAAATCCTCAAACCCACAAAAACACATTTTAATGTACTCAGAAAAGAGGGCCTTTCTTCTCTGGTAACTTCCCAAAATCAATATAGGAATTTCCTTAGGAGAGTGCCTTCCTTCTTCACTTGAGAACAGTTTTGAAATTTAAATATAGTCTACATAAAATATAATTTATATTCCCCATTCTGAACTTCAGGTTCAACTTAAAGCAGCATAATATAGTGGGATGGGAGATGGGCTTTGGAGTCAGAATTCAACTCCTAACTCCATTATTCACTAGCTGTGTGACTTAACCTGAGCCTCAATTTCCTAATAATGCCTGACTCATATAATTGTGGTGAAGATTGAAATAAAGTAATAAGCTTAGTATAGTGTCTAGTTTACAGTAAATTCTCAATATTTATTATTTCCCTTTCACTTTTTCTTAACCACCTCATATATTATATCTTTCCTATAAAAAAGAGGTATCAATAGTATTTATAAGGCACAGTCAAAAGTGCTGAACCCATATAAACTGATGTTAAATATGATTCTCAGTCCCTGAGAATACAGATCATATTTCAGGATCTATATAAAATCATGGGAGCTCTGGCCTAAGGCATTTGACTGCTAACCAGAAGGCTGGCAGTTCAAACCCACTAGCCACTCCTTGGGAGGAAGACTGAGCAATCTACTTCCGTAGAGATACCACCTC